ATGGCCACACCGCAGTCTCTTCTCCTCCATTCTCCTCTTGGGATCCTGGGCACGCATGCACACGCGCCTGGCGTGAGTTTAAGCCACCAGATCCGTGACTCGAACTGTGGTCAACTACGTGGGAATTCAGTGACATAGCCATTACGCTAACTGCTGGTCCCTTAAGCAGCAGTTTTTAAAATTAACAGTAAATATTGAAAGCCTTAAAATGCTCATGTGCCTTGGTTCAAGAACTCCACTTCTGGAACTTTTCATGAAGGGAGATGATTGGGTATGAACGTATGTGGGGAGCTGTGCTATGTATGTAAGCATTGCTTATAACTGAAAGGGAAAAGAATAAGTATTCAAAGGACTGATTCTGTTTTGTAGGGGTGTGTGTTTCTGTATATGTAAATAAAATAGAATATTGTATAGTCATTATAAATGATGATACAGTCCTTTATTAATAAAAAATGTTCATGTAAAAGAAAAGCAGCATATAAAAGTTTCATTGTTTTGTAAAAATAAACAAAAAAAAATAAATTTTCTGTATCCATGCAGAAAATTTTCTATAATAATAAACTGAAATGTTAAAGTGGTATCTCTGGGTAGTGAGGTTATGGGTAACTTTTCTATGATATCTATTTATTTTCTAACTTTTCTCGTAAGATCATAGATTACTTATGTGGTTTTTAAAACTGGATATATACAACTATTTCATTTGGTGTTGAATTCTGACTTCAGTTTTCTTTTAGAAAATGTATCTTGTCTTCATTTAAAATCCAGGTTCATTATGTGTTTGGCTGTGGAGCAACTGCTGCCATATTCAAAATACTATTTCCTTCTCTTATAGTGGGAAAGTAAAAGTGTCCTGCGCAATGAACCTTTGGTTTTAGAGGGAGGCTATGAAAACTGGCTCCTTTGCTATCCCCAGTATACAACAAATGCTAAAGTCACTCCACCCGCACGAGGCAAGAATGAAGAGGTGTCTATCTCATGTATGTATGTGAAAAATTTTGCTTAAAATTGCTTCAGTCAAATATACTTTAATTTCAGGATAATGTTCTTAGTTTTTCGCACGTTTGTCCTTAGATAGCAACTTGTTTTCAAGCATAAAAACATAAAATGTCCACAGCCTGAAAGGTCACGTTTTCTTTAAGCCTGTTGTGATTGTCATTGCATTAGTTTACATTTAACTGTCATATACAGCATGCATGAGAAATGAAAGTATGACTGATGGGATTTGCTGTCCTTAATAAACTTATTATTCTTTGGGGGATTTTAGTGGATTTTACATACCCCTCACTGGAAGAATCAGTTCCTTCTAAACCTACCATCCAGATGCCACATCCTCCTACGAATGTAAATGAAAATATAGAATTCATTAATGATCAAGACGAGAGAATGGGACCACTGAATATATCAACTTCAGTTGAACCAGTTACTTCTAAATCTGACGCTTCACCCATAATTCAGCCAGTGCCTATTATAAAGAATGTTCCACAGGTATGTTCTTAATATTTCTTTTAACTTTGTTCTCTTTTATTTAAAGAGTGTATTAATATATAGTATAGAAATGGACCAATCAACTTTTTAAAAAAGTTTTTCCTATAGGGTGCAAGCACTTGCTGGAGAGGGAGAGAAAGAGAGAGAAAGCAACCCACCAGAGGAAATTGCTATGCCCCAAACCCATTTCCATTATCCTCCTGGGATTTTGGGGCACACATGCACACATATCTGGCATGTTTTCCAAGCTACCAGGTCTGGGACTTGAACCACACAGTTGACCATGTGAGATCCAGCTGCCATAACCACTAAACCCCTGGCTGCTCCTAAATGAACATTTTTTAGTATAATCTTTTTTTTTTAAGGATTATTTTATTTAACTCCATTTATTCATTTATCTATTCCAATTTGACCAGAAAAGGACAGAGTGAATGAGAGAGAGAAAGAGAAGGAGAGAGAGAAACTGAAAAAGCAAGGCACCAGGTTCGGGACTTGAACCATGGTCGACCACATGGGAGTCCAGTGCCCCTAACTACCACGACACACCACCTGTAGACACCAGGGGGGTTTTTTGTTTGTTTTTTGTTTTGTAAGTATAATCTTTAATAGCTTAGAAAAGTGTCTATAAGAAGACTCTCATAGTGGGACCAGCACTTAGCATAATGGCTATGTCACTGAACTCCCATGTAGTCAACCACAGGTCGAGTCCCAGACCTGGTGACTTAAACTCACGCCGGACGCATGTGCATGTGTGCCCAAGATCCCAAGAGGAGAATGGAGGAGAAGGGATTGTGGCGTGACCATCCCCCCTGTGGGGTGATTTCTCGCTTTCTGTCTCTATGTCTCTCTCTGTCTAGTGAGAGCACACGTCCTATAGCAAAAACCTCTAAAAAATACCTTAAAAAAAAAAAGTCTCTCATAGAATGTTTTCTTACCTTTGATTTAGTAAAAACTTTTTATTATAATTTATCTCTGTTATCTGTTATATCAGAACAAACAATTCAGAGGATTTTAAAGCCAGTAGCTGGTCCATTTGCCACAAGTAGTACCAGTAAAAACTTATATTTCTACAATAAACTAGAACAACCTTTTTAAGTTTTTTTTGCATTGTAATTCAGCTCATAGTAATTTCCCAAGTAGTTTATTACCTATGTGTCAAATCAATATTTTGGTCTTGGTCCTTTTTTTTTTTTTTTTTTTTTAAGAGAGGTTTTTGCTATAGGGCGTGTGCGCTCGCCAGCCAGACAGAGAGAGACATAGAGACAGAAAGCGAGAAATCACCCCCCGGGGGGATGGTCATGCCACAATCCCTTTTCCTCCATTCTCCTCTCGGGATCTTGGGCACGCACGCACACGTGCCCGACGTGAGTTTTAAGCCACGGGGTCTGGGACGCGAGCTGCAGTCGACTATGTGGGAGTCCAGCGACATAGCCATTACGCTAACTGCTGGTTCCCAATATTTTGGCCTTAAAACAGTACTTTAGTTTTATTTTTTTAAGAATTTGACATGTAAATAGCAGACATGTTTCAATGGTTATTTTAAAAGTTTTTAAATAAGCAAGATTTTACCATTAAAAATTGCAGCACTTGGGACCAGCAGATGGTGTAATGACTCCATCGCTGGGCTCCCATGTAGTTGACCATGGTTTGAGTCCCAGACCCAGTGGCTTAAACTCACACTGTGCACATGTGTGTGCATGCCCAAGATCCGGAGAGGAAAATGGAGGAGAGGGGATTGAGGCATGGCCATCCCCCCAGGGGATGATTTCTTGCTTCTCTCTGTCTCTCTTTCTGGTGAGTACACGCCCTATAGCAAAAACCTCCTCCACCCCACAAAAAAAAAAAATGCACCATTTTTGGGCCAACAGGTAGCATGGAGGTTAAGGTGGCCAAATTCAACTTGACTATGCAGCTTGAGTCCTGGACTCGACAGCTTGAAATTTTCAGGCGCATATGCATGCATGCTTAAAATCTCAAATGGAGAATGGAGAAGGGATGGCAGCATGGCCATTCCCTTGTGGGGGTGATTTCTCACTTTCCCTCTGTCTACTGTTCTTTCTTTGTCTCTTTCTGGAAGTGCACATACCTATAGCAAACTACAAAAATAAATAAACAAGTAAATAAAATGCAGCTTTTTTTTCTTCATTAAGTTTTATATAAAGAAAGGTTACCTGGGACAACCCATGTGGCCTGGTGGTTGGGTCAGGTGAATCCCACATGGCTGGCTCAAGGCTTAAATCCTGGACCCAGCTGCTTGAAAAAACACTCCAGGCATGTGTGCATGCATATCCAGAATTCTGGAGGGAAGAAGAGATAGAAGAGAGGGGATTGCAGTGTGACCATGCCCCATGGTGGTACTTTCTCAATTTCCCTCACTGTCTGTATCCCAAGCCTTCTGGCAAATTTAGGAAATAAAAAGAAGGGAGTCAGCAGGTGGCATAGTGGTTGCAGCGCTGGATTCCCACATGACTGACTGCGGTTTGAATCTGGACTAAGAGGCTTGAAAATCATGGTGGGCGCATGTGTGTGCATGCCCAAAACGAGAAGTGATTGTGACATGGTCATCCCCCCAGAGGGCAGTTTCTAACTTTGCTGCTCACTGTCTCTCTCCATTTCTCTCCAGGAAGCGCACGTCCTTTGGCAAAAACCTTTAAAAAAACAATAAAGAAAAGAAAGATTTTCAGTTGTCAGAGGGTCTATGTGTTTGCCAGAGGAATAGAGGAAAAAAGTATGCTTGCCAGAGAAGAGGGAGGTGGTGGTGGCAGCCACACCGTAATCCCATCACATTTATTCATCCCTTCAGGATTTGGGGCACATGTCTCCAGTGTTTTTCAAGCCCCCAAGGCCAGGACTCAAACCACAGTTAGCATGTGCGATCTCTCTCCTTTAACCATAAACTTTAGGACTGGTTCAGTCCAGTTACTTTTTTTTTTATATACTTTTTTTTTTTTTTTACATTTATTTTTTAAGAGAGATATTTGTTATAGGGCGTGTGTGCTAGCTAGAGAGACAGAGAAAGAAAGAAGGTGAGAAATCAACTCCTGGGGATATGGCCATGTGCTGCAGTTCCTTCTCCTCCATTATCCTCTTAGGATTTGGGCACACATCGTACACACCCAGTGTCAGTTTCAAGCCACCTAGTCTGGTACTTGAACCATGGTCAGCCATGTAGGAGTCCAACAATGTGACCATTATGCCATCTACTGGTCCCCCAATAACCATTTTTTAACATTTATTTTTAATTTTTCTCCCTAGTTATCTTTAAATAATATTTCACATTTGAAGTAGATGCCATTTGATTTGTAGAACAGGCCATGAATAGAAAATTTGGTGATTTATTGTTATTTATAAAATGGGATGGTTTGCTTATTTTTTTTTTAAAGATTTTAATCTACAGATTAAATCTAAACAATTTGATTAGACAGTTTTTCTTAAAATATAAATTTGAGAAATTCTTAAAAGTTATTGCAGTTTCTTTCAGATGAACACATTTGAACCCTGATTCTTTCATGTGTCAACATGGCTTTCTGAGATATGTGCCATATGTTGAACGTATCTTGAAGATCTATGTTAAAGCGGTGTGGTCATCTCCCTTGGGAAGTGATTTCTCGATTTCTCCCTTTGTCTCTTTCTACTCCCGTCCTCCTCTCCCCCTCTGTCTGTGGTGAGCACACATACCCTGTGGCAAAAGTTTAAAAAATAAAAAAGCTAGCACAAAAATAGACAAATATGAGTAAAACTTGAATTCTGTCCAATATTTAAAAGTAGAGGACTGTACAGTTTATCCACACTGTAAAGCAGAATATCTTAGTTCTTTTACTCTGCACTGGAACACCGAGCAAGGAGAAAAATTCGAGATGAGAGGATCAGGGAGGTATTTATAGAGGAAATGGTATTTTTATTTGGGTATTCAGAGTTCAGTAGGATTTGAGGATGGAAGAGACAAGGAGAAGATAGTATGTCTAAAGGGACAGGGCATGCTCTGGGATCAGTGAGCAGTTGTGACTTGTGTAAGTGCAGGACCCTGAGAGAGAGAGGAGAATACAGTAGTAGGTAAGATTGGACAGATGCACAAGCGTCAGCAAGAGACTCAGATCAAATTTTAACTTTATCCTGTAGGCATAGGGAACTGTTGAAGAAGTTTTAACTTGAAAATAACGTATCATAGTTTTGTTATGTTTTGTTTTGTGTTTTCCCCCAAGAGGATGCATGTACTTGCTGGAGAGAGAGAGTAAAATAAAGCAAGAAAGCAACCCGCATGGGGCATCGTCATGCTGGAGTCTTTTCTCCTCCATTTCTCCCTTCTTTGAAGATTTTGGGCACACACGCTTATGTTCCTGGTGTGTTTTTCCAAACCGGTGGGTCCAGGACTGAACCACATATTCAGCAATGTGGAATCCAACTGCTTTAACCTCCAGGCTATGGGTGGGCCTCAAAGTTGTGCTTGTAAGGTTAGAGGAGAATAGATTGAGCTACCAAAAGGTGAATGGAAACATTTATTTGGACTCCTGCTCTTTTATTGTTAACTTCCTCCCCAGTGTTTCTTCCTACTTCATTCTGAAATACACATAGGAAAAAAGAAGGGAAGACTTAATGTGGTTTTTGTTGTTTGTTTTTAAAGTGAAGAGGACAGAAATGCTTTTTCTCTTTTCTTTTCTTTTCTTTTTTTTTTTTTTTAAGAGGTTTTTGCTATAGGGCTTGTGCGCTCGTCAGACAGAGAAAGACATAGAGACAGAAAGTGAGAAATCACCCCCCAGAGGGGATGGTCACGCTGCAATCCCTTTACCTCCCTTCTCCTCTCGGGATCTTGGGCACGCACTTACACGCGCCCGGCATGAGTTTTAAGCCACCAGGTCCGGGACGTGAACCGCAGTCGACTACGTGGGAGTCCAACAACATAGCCATTACGCTAACTGCTGGTTCCCAGAAATGCTTTTTTTCCTTCACAAACTTCATAATACTTTGTTTTCTCATGGAAAAATGTAGAATTCATTTTGGTTTTTGTTTTGTTTTGTTTGTTTGTTTGTGTTTTTTTTTTTTTTTTTTTTTTGGGGGGTTTTTTGTTATATGGGGCCTTGCCAGACAGACAAAGACATAGAGACAGAAAGCGAGAAATCACCCCCCAGCCCCGGAGGATGGTCACGCTGCAGTTCCTTCTCCTCCATTCTTCTCTCGGGATCTTGGGCACGCATGCACACACGCCCGGCGTGAGTTTTAAGCCACCGGGTCCGGGACGCAAACCGCGGTTGACTACGTGGGAGTCCAGCGACATAGCCATTACGCTAACTGCTGGTTCCCTAGAATTCATTTTATAAGAACACTATGCAGGTTGTTACTAGCAGATGTTCTTGTATTGGGGTGGGGGGTCTTCAAAAAGTTCTTGGGAATGCACATTATGAAAAAACTATATGTGGATTTCAGAATTTCTTGCACCAAAATAGACTAGTATTTTAATTCACTTTTTCCATGAACTTTTTCAAGTACCCTTTTGTGTTCTCATTTTTGTCTTGGTGTATGGTATTCTCAGGAAATAATGTTAGGGTTACCTTTCACAATGGTGCAAAGTTGATAAGCTGTTACATTGGGGTAGTAAGCTTTTTTTTTTTTAACATTTATTTATCTATTTATTTGTTGTGATTTTTCTTTATTTTTTCTTTTTTTAGAGAGGTTTTTGCTATAAGGTGCGTACACTCACCAGAAAGACAGAGAGAGGCAGAGAGACAGAAAGAAGTGAGAAATCACCCCCCAGGGGGGATGGTCACACCGTAAGCCCTTCTCCATTCTCCTCTCGGGATCTTGGGCATGCACGCACACACACCCGGCATGAGTTTAAGCCACCGGGTCCAGTACTTGAACCGTGGTCAACTATATGGGAGTCCAGCGGCATAGCCATTACACTAACTGCTGGTCCCATTTGTTGTGATTTTTAAGTCACCAGGTCTGGGATTCAAACCATGGTCAGCCATGTGGTAATCCAGCACCTTAACCACCAGGCCACCTAATGCTCCACATTGTGGTAATAAACATTTAATTTACTAAGTCAGGAATTGAGGTAGTTTATTACTCAGTTAAGAAAACCAATTAATATCTTAGTTCTTAGAAATGTTATATGGTTGAGGGAACAAATAAAGTTTTCCGTATTTATTGAGTGTATCAGGCATGGTCCCTACTTTTTTACAACATATTCTAGGACAGAAGCAAAAAATAATTTTTAAGAGGTTTTTGCCTTAGGGTGCGTCCACTCGTCAGAGAGACAGAGACAGTGAGAGGGAAAGTGAGAAATCACCTCTCCATTCTTCTTCAGGGATCTTGGGCTCGCATACACATGTACCTGGCATGATTTTGAAGCCATTAGGTTTAGGACTCGAACCACGGCTGCCTATGTGGGAGTCCAGTGATGTAATCACTGTGCCATCTGCTGGCCCAGAAGCAAAATTTTAAACAAATAATGATAGCAAATAAATTGGAATCCCAGTAAGTGCTATGAAGGAAAAGAATAAGGTAATATAAGAGCATATGTCAGGAGACTTGGATTGTTTTAGAAAGCAGAGAATTCTTTTCTGAGGAGGAAATATTTAAGCCAGGACCACACACTTGTGGGTGTTACAGCTGACACAAAGGTCTGAGTTGGAAAGGAGCTTGGCATCTTTCACGTTGTGGTTTGGTTTGGTTTTAAAGACAAGTACAGCTGATGTATAGAATGGCGTGAGATGAGACTGGAAATGGAGGCAAACATAAGGGTACACAAAGCCTATAGTCAGGATTTCAGATGCAATCTGAGTAGAGTGGATTGCAGTTTTAAAAGATTTAAGCAAGGAAGAAACACCTTCAGATTTGTTATAAAATGATTACTCTGGCTACAATGTAGAGAAGTAGATTAGAGGCAGGAGGTGCAAAGAAGAGACGGGAAGCCAGTTGGGCACTGTGCTGTTGTCCTTGTGACAGAGGGTGTTGACATGGACTTGGCTGGTGGTGATAGAGGTGAAGGGACAGATAGATACAGAACAAAACCATCTGACTGAAGAAGGGGATAGTAAGGACATATCATAGAACTTTCAGGTTTCTGGTGTGTGCTACTGTTTGGAGAGTGGTTACATCCACGAGAAAGATCATGTTTGGAGAGAGGAAATCAGGAATTCTGTTTTGGCCATAGTGCATTTGAGGTATTTGTGTGAAACTCAATGTGGAGATAGTGGACAAGCAGTTATGTATGTGGAAATAACACTGAAGTCTGGGGATGCCCAGATCTAGCTTTTCTGTTTTAGAATGGACATGATTCATGGGCCAGCCATGTAGTGGTGCAGATAACCTGACCCCACCTGGCCAGCAAGGTGCCACTCCTGGCTCCAGTTGCTTGAAAAACACTCCAGGCGTGTGTGCATGCATACCCAAATTCCCAGCAGGAGAAATGGAGGCAAAGAGATTGTAGCATGTCTATACCCTATTGCAGGCCCCATTGTAGGGTACATTCTATAGCTCTCTTTTCATCTGTCTCTGGGGCATGCATGTACCACACCTCTGGCAATTAGAAAAAAATAACAAAGACATTAGTAACTTGTATACAGAGCACACGAAGGTGAACTGGATTTGTAGAATCAAGGTGAAGCACTTTCACATGAAGGTGAATTGAATGTTGAATCAAGATCAAGCACTTTTAAGTGCTGTTTCAGTATCTTCTGTGAGTTGCCTTATAAGAAATCTTGACGCTGGGAACCAGCAGTTAGCGTAATGGCTATGTCGCTGGACTCCCAGTGGCTTAATGGCGTCCCGGACCTGGTGGCTTAAAACTCACACCGGGCGCGTGTGCATGCATGCACAAGATCCCGAGAGGAGAATGGAGGAGAAGGGATTGCAGTGTGACCATCCTCCCTGGGGGGTGATTTCTCTCTTTCTGTGTCTATGTCTCTCTCTGTCTGTCTGGCGAGTGCACACGCCCTACAGCGAAAAACCTCTCCCAAAAAAAAGAAATCTTGACGCTGCGTAATCTACAAGTAGATTTTCTGGCAGATATTCTCTACACGAACTGACTTTTTTTTTAAATTACTACTTGATTTCAGGAACTCAGGTTACCATTCCTGATTTCGATCAAAGGATGGTTTTTCTCTGTTTTGTTGCTCTAGGTTGATCGTACTAAAAAACCAGTGGTCAAATTGCCTGAGGACCATAGAATAAAGTCTGAAAGTACAGATTATGAGCAACAGTCTCCTCAAAACGGAAAATTTGTTCCTGATCGTTCTACCAAGCCAATATTTTCCCCTCCCACTGTCATGTTAACAGATGAAGAAAAAGCTCGTATTCATGCGGAAACTGTACTCCTAATGGAGAAAAACAAACAAGAAAAGGAACTTCGAGAAAAGCAGCAAGAGGAACAGAAAGAGAAACTGAGGCGGGAAGAAGAACTGAAAGCCAGAAAGAAACAGGAAGCTGAAGAAAATGAAATCACAGAGAAGCAACAAAAAGCAAAAGAAGAACTAGAAAAGAGAGAAAGTGAACAGGCCAAGAAAGAAGATAAAGAAACCTCAGCAAAGAGGGGCAAAGAAATAACAGGAGTGAAAAGGCAAAGTAAAAGTGAGCATGAAACTTCCGATGCCAAAAAATCTGTGGAAGATAGAGGGAAAAGGTGCCCAACCCCAGAAGTACAGAAAAGGTCAGCAGATGTGCCCCATGCACCTGGGACGGGAGATCCGAGTGCAGGCAAGGTAAGCAGACAAGCAGTGCAACTTGCCAACTAGATGAAGTGAAATGATTTTAAAAGGTAGCACAGGGTCCAGCAGGTGGTGTGGTGATTAAAGGTGCTGGACTCCTACATGGCTAACCATGGTTCAAGTCCTGGACCTGGCGGCTTGCTTTCTCACTTTCTCTCTTTGTGTCTCACTCTGGTCAAATTCAAAATAACAATAATAACAAATATAATAAAGGAAATAATTATTTAAAAAAACATGGTAGCATAAATGACATTCTGTAGACAGTATTTTGAATAGCTTTTTAGAAAACGATAGAGTGCACTGATCCATCCACATTTGCTCACCTCTCCTTTGATGCTAGTAACTTATATTTATGAAATGTTTGGCAACTGAATTGCTTTTTATGTCTTTGAAATGCAATATATTTTAATAATCAAGATAAATAGCTATATTCTTCTTTATTTTTCTTTTTAATTGCTAGAGGTATGTATGCTTACGAGAAGAAGACAGAGAGAAAGCACCCCCAGTGGTGCATAGTCATGTTGCAGTCCTTTCTGCAACATGGGATGATTTCTCATCTTCCCTCTCTTTCTCCAGCAAGCTCACACACCCTAGGGCAAAAACTTTAAAAAAAAAGAAATAAATGAAATTGAGGAAATGTAACCTATGTACTAAAACACTCTTAACTTTATTCATGGAAGAATCAGAACTTGTGACCTCTTATTTAAAGATATAATTGTTTTTGAGAGGTTTTTGCTATAAGGCACGTGCACTTGCCAGAAAGACAGAGACAGAAAGCAAGAAATCACCCCCCAGGGGGGATGGCCACACCGCAATCCCTTCTCCTCCATTTTCCTCTCAAGATTTTGGGTATACATGCACATGAGCCAGCCTGAGTTTCAAGCCACAGGGTCTGCGACTTAACCCTCTGTCAGCCACGTGGGAACCCAGTGACATAACATTACGCCATCTGCTGGTCCCAAGATTTTTTCTCCTTAATTCAGGTTCATACTCCTGAACTTCCTGTTTGTTGTTGTTATTGTAAGGGCATGCAAACTCACTAGAGAGATGAAGAGAGAAAAAGTGAAAAAAAATCTTCCCCCAAGGGATACTGTCAAGTTGCAACTCTCTCCTCCATTCTCAGATTTCGTGTATGCACGCACACATGCCTAGTGTATCGTCCAAGCTATTAGGTCCAGGACTCAAACCACATAATCAGTCATGTGAGATTCAGTTTCTTCAACTACCACATCACCTGGCTAGTCCACCTCCTAGTATTTTTAATTTAAACAAAAAATGTTTTTAACTTCTAAAGGGGAACTTGCAGGGGAGAGAAAGTGCTCAAGATCCCGAGTGGAGAATGGGAGGAGAAGGGATTGCGTATGGGGGTTATTTAATGTAGATGCCAAATATCCCTACAAATCTAAATGGCCCTGAGATTATCTTATATAATTTAATAAAATATTATGAAATTCCAATAATGTAATACATTGATAAAAGCTAAGATTGGGAGCCGGCATGTGGCATGGTGGTTGAGGTGCTAGACTCCAACGGTGCTGGCCATGGTGCAGGTACTGAACCTGGCGGCTTGTTTTCTCACTCTCCCTTTCTCTCAGTCTGTCTCTTTCTGGTCAAAATTGAAGAATAATGATAATAAATAAAATTTAAAATAAATAAATCTTTAAAAACAAAGCTAATATTGTATTCCTTTTTCTTTTTTTTCTCATCTTTACATTTTTTTATGTTTTGTCAAAAATATCACTCCTATATTCCCCCTGGATATTCACATCCAAAAACATTTCTATTTATTTATTTATTTGTTTACTTTACAATAAAAGTATGAATTTATTTTGGTACAAAAACTTTTTGAAATTCCTACGTAGTTTTCCCATTACACTTATTCCCATGAGTTTTTTTTTTAGAAACTTTTTTTAATTAATTTACATTCATTCCCTAAACATCGTCATAGTATACAAAATGTGATTTCTCGTTCAGAATATACTGCATAGTGGCTTAATCATGCATGTTATTATCAATAATTTTCCATTTCTAGTTTTTTATATATTTATGTATGTGTCTATATATGGATATGTGTGTGTGTGTATATATAAAGATAAATATATACACACATATATATATATGTAAAGATATATATACACACACATATATATTACTCCTATTTCTGACCCTCTGCCCTTTCCTACCCTCCTCCCACACTATCTCTGGTGTCTACAGTTGTTTTCCATTCCTTTTCCCCCCACATTTTATTGATCACACAATTTCTTAAATTAACTACTTTCAATAGCAAGTTCAGCTGGTAATTTCAAGAAAAGCAGTTTTAACTTTAATAAATCAAAGAAATGCTAAGGAACTTTGCTTAAAACCTAAAGCCAGAAAACAGGTTAGGATTCTGTTCAAATAATAGGTACATGAACCTATTGACAGCTCAAGACAGGACAAAAATCCTAGTCAAAAGTCATAAAATGCTATTTCACCAGTTCAGTCTCATGTACTTAATCTATCTTCTGTTATGGTTTGATCTTCCCAATTAAATTCTGGAATATAATACTGAACTCCAGACTTGTCCCTATCATTAAGTTGGCCATTTTCTTAGTTTTTTTTTTTTTGGAGAGGTTTTCGCTATAGGGCGCGTGCGCTCGCCAGACAGACAGAAAGAGACATAGAGACAGAAAGCGAGAAATCACCCCCCAGGGGGATGGTCACGCCACAATCCCTTCTCCTCCATTCTCCTCTTGGGATCCTGGGCACGCACGCACACGCGCCCGGCGTGAGTTTTAAGCCACCAGGTCCAGGATGTGAACCGCGGTCAACTACGTGGGAGTCCAGTGACATAGCCATGACGCTAACTGCTGGTTCCCGATTTTCTTAGTTTTTAATACTCTTGTTTCTGTGTGTCTCTATTTAGTTTTCCTGGTATGGCACTCTCGTGAGAACTTCTTGGAGATCTGGTCTGGTGCTGGTAAATTCTTACAGGTTTTGTTTATCTGAGACTATTCTTGTCTTTTCCTCCCATAATGAAGGAAAATCTTGCCAGGTACAGCATTCTTGATTAAAACTGCTTTTCCCTTAACACTTTGAATATATTTTCCCATTCTTTCATTGCTCACTTTCAATAGCAAGTTCCGATGAGAGATCTGCTGTTAGCCTATTGGGATATCCTTTGTAGGTAACTTGCTGTTTCTCTCTTGCCAATCTTAGTATCTTGTCTTTGTGGTTTTGGTCAATCTGGCTATAATGTGTCTTGGAGAAGGTCTTCTTGGGTTCATTCTATTTGTGGTCCTTTGTGTTTCTTGGGACTGGATCTTTGAGTGCCTGTCTTGGTTTGGAAAGTTTTCTTGCAGGATTTTATGAAATAGATTATCAATGCCCTTATAGGTCTCTTTGCCTTCTGGGATACCAATTATACGGATGTTTGGATGTTTGATGGTACCTAGTATTTCTTGTATATTATTCTTATTTTGGGGGGCAATTTTCTCAGTTCTTCGTGGTGGATTTTTCTAGGCCAGCAATTTTCTCTTCTGCTTCTGAGATTCTACTTTCTGTATGATCTAGTCTGCTTTTAATACTTTCGAGGGAGATTTTGACTTCCTATATTATAGCCTTCATCTCTAACAGGTCCATTTGATTCTTGTTTAAAGTGTGTAATTCCTCTTTCAGATCTTGCAAGAATTTCATCACCCCCTGGAAATCATCAGCTCATTTCTCCTGCCTCTTCTGCAGTTCATTGTTTCTCTTTTCTTCCATCTCTGTTAGCTTTGTCATTATGAATATTCTAAATTCTTTATCAGACATTTCCATGATTTCCACTGAACTATCTGTGGATGAAGAGGAGTTATTCTTTTTCCTTGGATGAGAGGTATTTTCTTGCTTTCACATATTTCTTGTGGCCCTGCAGTGATTTCTAATCATCTGATGGGTGGTGTGTTTCTTCCTTATTCTTGAAGTTCAATCTGAGCATTCAGGAAAGTGCAGAAGGAGGTGATCTGGAATCTTTTTGCCATTCCATTTTTATCCCATTGTGCAGCAGATTCACTTGAATTTATGGGCTAGAGCTTGAATTATCAGTAGAAAATCTTCATTTCTCTTGTTTCCCTGAAATCACTAGTTCTCAGGAGCCATAGAGGAGTTTTCTTCTGAAGCCCTGCCCCTTGTCTTTCCACTCAAGTTTGTGGACTGGAGGCTGCATTATCAGTAGAAAAATCTTCATTTCTCTTTTTTCCCTCGATTGTATTCCTTAAGAAGTAGTATGGGGACCCAGGTGGTATGATGGTTGGGGACGCAGGACTCCCAGTCTCATTCATTCTCTCTCTCTCACTTTGTCCTTCTCTGGTCAAATTAAAATAAATAAAGTTAAATAAAATAATTCTTAAAAAAAAATAAGCAAAATAGAAAATACGTTTTTAAAAAAAAGCAGGCAGAATATGTGATTCTAGAATAAATAGAAAATATTTAGAAAATTCTATTTCTAATTTTTTAAAATTTCTACTATACTTTTTTTGGGGGGGAGATTTTCACTATAGGGTGCGTGCGCTCGCCAAACAGACAGAGAGAGACATAGAGACAGAAAGCAAGAAATCACCCCCCAGGGGGGATGGTCATGCCATAATCCCTTGTCCTCCATTCTCCTCTCAGGATCTTGGGCACGCATGCACACGCGCCCGGCGTGAGTTTTAAGCCACCGGGTCCAGGACACGAGCCGCGGTCGACTATGTGGGAGTCCAGCGACAGCCATTACGCTAACTGCTGGTTCCCAAAAATTTCTACTATACTTTTAAATAAGATGTGAAATTATAGTAACTTTTTTGAAAGAATCTGTTATGTTGCTGGACTCCCACATGGCCAATCTTTGGTTCAAGTCCTGGACCTGGTGGCTTGAAAATCACGCTGGGCATTTGTGTGTGTGTGTGCCCAAGTTCCTGGGAGGAGAATTGAGGAGAAGGGATTGTAGTGTGGCTATCCCTCCTTGAAGTGATTTCTCACTTTCCCTCTCACTGTCTCTTTCTCTCTCTCTCTCTCCAATAAGCACATGTACTCTAAGGTAGAAATCTCTCAAAAAAATCGTGGGACCAGTAGATGGCATAGTTGTTATGTCACTGGTCCTACACAGTCAGCCATGGTTCAAGTCAGGACCCAGCAGTTTCAAACTCACACCAGGTGTATGTGTGTACATGCCCAAGATCCCAAGAGGAGAATGGAGGAGGAGGGATTGTGGCATGGCAATCCCTCTGGGAGGTGAGTTCTCACTTTCTGTCTTTCTCTGTCTCTCCAGTGAGTGCACGCATCCTATAGCAAAAATCTCTCTTTAAAAGAAAGAAGAATCTGTGATGGTATAAAAAAATATAAATATTGGATCAGCAGGTGGCATGATGGTTAAGGCAGTGGGTTCTCACATGACCAATTGGTTTGAGTCTTAGACCCAGCAACTTGAAAATCACAACAAATAAATAAATAAATGGATAAATTTATGCTTAGGGCAAAAAAATATATAAATATGGATTTTTTCATTTTTAAATATTGATGTACATAAAATTCTATCTTTTTTTAATACTTTAAATTTTTTGGGACACAGTCTCTCTGAAAGTAACTAAAATCATACAGGAATCATAAAAGAATGTCACTCACATGAGGCCATGTTAAACATAGGGTAATGGTCATCATTTTATATTTGGCCATTTATTGTGAATTATCAAAAGTTTTTTTTTTTTTTTTTTTTAATTGATTGTTCTTAACAATCTACTTTGATTTTCATCTCCCCATCCCCCAGATTAACCAAAGTATTTTTTGGTTTTTTTACTTTTAATGTCAGGAAATTCCAGATGGCTCAAAAGCATCTGTTTTGAATTTGACAATAAAATTGAATAAACTTTTTCAGAGGCCTAATTTTTTCCTGTGTTTATTGATCTGTTTTTTGTTTGTATTGGATATGTGCACTCACAGGAGACAGAGATAAAAAGGGAAAGTAAAAAAGCACCCTCCAGGATGAACGATCACACCACAATGCCTCCTCCTCTGTTTATCGCTCGGAATTTTGGACATGCATGCACACATGCTCAGCATGTTTTTCAAGCTGCAGGGTCTGGACTCAAGCCACACAATGGGCCATGTGGGATCCAGCCACCTGAACCACCATGCTACTGGCTTGCCTTTTAGAGGTTGTATTATCTAGAAATAGGTAAGTTTACATTGGGGAAACACTATAGTTTTCTTTCATTTCTATAATTTTAACAATTTTACAGCCGGCTAAGATTAAAGGACAACCAGAAAGTGGAATTCTAAAGACAGGAACTTTTAGAGAAAATGCAGAGGATACCGACAGAAATAAAGTAAGTAGTT